AATATGTATAGGTCTTGGTGACCAAACCTACAGTATCCAAGAGAGTGTCTATATCACATTTCGTCTCTGTTATAGTTAATGTTGATTTTGTGTTATGGAGGTTGGAACATGCTACCTTTTTTTTTTTTTTTTTTTTGCTGCCACTGCAGCATGTGATTATCACAGTATGATTTGTGATCTAGTTATGCTCACATTTTTCTTTCTCTGCAATCTTTGCAGGTACATTACAACAAGAGAAGTTGCAGTGTGTGTATGATGCTTTAAAAGGGGTTTGAGTTGTTTTTTGTGTTTTTCTGCCAAATGACAATGGAGGATTGAAATGACAGTAGATATTGAGCGATTTAGCAACAGACATTCACAGCTTTCTGCTTGCTACAGTTAGGACCAATAACCTAAACTACTTGGCCAGCTGTTTTTTATAAAAGTCATAAAAGATCTCTCTTATCTTTGTTTAATTTATATGCTAATATTCATAAGTATACGGAGAACTTTGCCTCCTTTCATTGAGCTGGAATGGAAATGTTGCTTTCAAAATGCAACCCAGAGGAAGTCATGCAGTTGGTATAAATTTGGCTTCATGTTGTTGAGGGGGAAGATGCCATGTTGCATAACATCTATTTGCTGTTTTTAAAAAATTCTTCTATTGTTTTAAAACTTGCTGCCCCACAAACCAGTCCCCTCTTGTCAATGCAAGGGCCTCTGACAAAGATCCTCCATAGAACAAGGATTAGTGTAACATGATCCAATAGGTCAGGGACATAACCTGGTGTGGGCGGATACTTGTTTTCACTTCTCTGTCTTGGAGCTAATTGATTTGGTTTCTCTGGCATGAAAATAAAGAGGGAAAGAAAACTGAATAGAAAACAGAGTTTGGATGCGAGGCATATATTTATTGCATTACCAACTCCAGCCATTCAAGAATCATGAGTAAACAGCCCCCTAAAATCATCAGATTGTCTTTAAAATGATGAGAATTTAATACATTCCTTTTATTATTGGTTCCCTTTTATTTGCCTTCTGGATGCACATTTTCAGACTCGTCTGAGCATTCACAAAGGCTAGGACCTTATTTTTTATAAATCCAAGCTGAATTTCCCATGTGAACTCTTGTCTCTAGAAATTGGGGCTTTACATAAAACATCACCCCTTCTTATGAGAGCTGGCAACACTGTAGTTATGTTACATGATTGGGAAGATACTTACATGAGATCTTGATACGCAGGGGAAAAAGAAATAAGTGAATCTTTAGAGTTACGATCAGTGGTTTTTTAATTACTGTGGAGTCTTACCAGAACCTGTGTATGCCGAATAAAGTAGTTTTGAGTCACCAGTGACCATCTCATTTTGGTCAATGAGTCTATTGAGCTGAAGAGTTCTTCCAAGGTTTATATTGCAAAAACTCTACTTTATACAAAATCTTTGCAGTAAAAGGCCAAAGGATTTGAAAAAGTTCCACTAACTTTCCATCTTGGATATGCCAGAGAGGACACATGGTTTGCCAATGGTCACTCTTTTTGATGAACCATAGAGCCAGTCCGATCTCCTGAAAATGGCAGTTCTAGGAATTGCTGACAATTTCCTGGTGCATGAAGTGTATAGTGCTTCAATAATAAGCTTTTGGTTTGGGAGAGGATTGGTTTTGTTGGTTTCTTTTGCATTTTCCATTGCAAAGTATGAAGGACAGATATACAGAATTATAGCTGGACATGGAATATGTCCTTCAGCTTGTAGCCAAATAAATACACAAAAAAGGGGATGCATAGGAAGATGGCAGGCACCATATAAACAGGGACTTGTCTGGGTTTCAGGGATGGCTATGGGGCTCAGGGCTATGGGTTGAGCTGCTGCTTTATGTTTATCAGAGAAAGTATGCATCTTGATGGTGAGTGTGTGTTATAGAGCCTTTCTTATGCCCAGTCTGCAGCCAGGGGTGGCCTGTGACTATAGGCCGACTCGGACGTCGCCTAGGGCGCTGCCTTCAACGGGACGTCTGGGGCAACTGATGATGACATCACTCCATTGACAGCTGTGCAGGCGGGGGCGCCAATCGCGCGTTTTGCCTGGGGCGCCAGCTGCCGCAGCCCGCCTCAGGCCGCTCCTGTCTGCAGCGCATATGGGTCTGTTATAGCCACAGCTAGAAAGCTCAAAGCTGTGTCCCTGAAGGCTAGCGGAAACTAGGGATGTTAAATATCAAGTCATTGACTAATCGAATAATCAATGCATTTTGCATCGACTATTCGATTAATCGATAGGCCGCCTCTGTCTTTAAAGTGTAGCAACACTTCTAGGGCTGATGTTACATTTCACAGGTGAATGTGACTGCTGCCCCTGGGCTCCATGTGGTGCTGCTGCTTTGAAACACCGTGGGGAGCCTGTCGTCAGGCTGCACCTGGCGTTTCACAGTGGCTGTGACACTTGGAGCTTGGAGTCAGCTGGGGACTCCACCACTGACTCCGGGTTCCGTGCAGCACGGCCGCTTTCAAATGCCATGGGGAGCCCAATGTCAGGCTCCCTGCAGCGTTTCAAAGCAGCCGAGCTGCATGGAGCCCAGGGTCAGCCAGGGAGTCTCCAGCTCATCCTGGGCTCCACGTGGCACTGCTGCTTTGATGTACCCCCTGCGTTCCCCCTCTTGCTGCCTCTTTCTGATAGAGGCAACGGGGGGGAGGGGGAGAAGCAACTAGTCGACTAGCCTGACAACTAGTCGTTCACTTCCGTAGCAGAAACCCTTTACATGCCTCATACACTGTGGTACTGATTGTCTCCATTTGTGAAGGAGTTTTTCTAATTTTCTTCTAAGTCCACTGTTGTTTTACTAATTGCAGCCGTAGCAAATACACCGGCTATGTCTGCACTTACCAGGTTATTTCAAAATAAGTCATTTTGAAATACTAACTCCTGAAATAACTGTTTCAAAATAAGCTCAATCCTCTTCACAAGCAGGAGTTATTTCGAAATAACAAACCTGTTATTTTGAAATAACAGGCTTGGTCGTGTGGGCACTCACCTAGTTATTTCGAAATAAGGGTCGTTATTTTGAAATAACTCCCCAGGTAGACATGCCCTCAGAGAGTGCCTGATGTGTGCCAGGTGCTTTCTACCAAATAAAAAATGCTTCAAAGACCTCATAAACGAAGGCCCAACATGTAAAACTAGTACCATGTGACTCGCTTGTGCAATAATGTGTCTCCATTCAGCATGGGGGCATTGTACCAGAACATGGGTACTCAGGCATCATGTTGGCAGGTGACTTTTATACAAATCCAGACAGGGATAGGGGTAAAGGTAAAGACCAGTTGTTTTTGAAAAATAGTGCAGGATTTAGAGGCAACTGTCTTGCTGTACATTGACTTCCACTCCATGCCAGGCTCGCAGATGCTGGAGGTGGGGGAGGGGACCGTTGCCCCAGGGCCGGCTATTTTAACACCGCCACTATTCTCAGCCACCACTGTTGTTACCACGGCAACAGCTGGATCCTTGGGCCGCCAGAGCGCCAGGAAGCATGCACCAAAGCCCTGCGCCGTGCAGTCCAGCCATCTCTGAGTGGGGGGTGAGGGTGGGAGGGGGGGCAGGGACAGATGAACATTGTCCAGCGCTGAGGTCTGGCTGCCCCAACCCTACTCCTTCCAGGGGGCGCTGAACTGGACCTTCCCCCCCCAACACACACATACACACACAATGCCTAAGGCCCGGCACTCCTGTTGGCCCCCCTGCTCCATGCTAAAATAGGGAGCATTTTGGCTTTAGAATACTTTTAATGTTGATAGTAGGAATTATGGTGTTAAATAATGTTACTACTCTGTGTCCCCCAAAATAGGATTATACTTCGGCCACTGCAGGGGAGGGTGAGAAAGTAGCAGTTAAATTGGTTTCTTTCTCCAAGTGGTGCTGGCTAATGAAATCCTGCTCCTGCAGGGGTTGTGAGATTTCCTCTGGCTATTTCTCAACGCTCTCCGTGCTTTTGTATTGTCCGTTGTGGCAGTGTCACAGCCATACCTTTGTGTCAGTGTTTTCCTCCACGTGCTGTTATCCTGAACTACAGCCCCCAAATGTCTCAATATGTCTTGCAACCCCACGCTAGCCACAGTTGTGCGAACTGTTTAATAAGTATCAGCCATGTCTCTAGCAAGGCAATCCAACCACATTCCGAAAGCAGGCAGATGGTGAAACCAAGCTGTTCTAATAGCGTTGCTGGCTTTGCGACCCCCTTTCCAGGAGTTGGCGTATGGCCTGACGGAGGCAAAGAGTTGAAATGTAGATTGAGATTCAAATCTGCTCTGTGTTGGGATTGGTCAGCCTGGGTGTCCAGCTTCAACACGCTACATCTGTGGGCATAGGCACCAACTCTGTGGGTGCTCTGGGAGAATTTAGCGGGTTCAGAGCCCTCACCCGTGCCAAGTTTCCTCCTCTCTCCATGACGGTGGCCCTTCTGTCCAATCCCTCTTCCTCCCTCCCAGCACTTCCAGAGCGCTGCGAACAACTGATTCTTAGCGTTCAAGCTCCGGGATGAGGGTGAGGAGTGGAGATGGGGCATGTTTGGGGGAAGTGGTGGGACGGGGTGGAGTATGGGTGGGAAGAGACTGCTCAGGGGTTTGGGAGAAGGGATGGAGTAGAGGGTGGAGTTAGAGCAAAAGCAAGAAGAGAATTCGGCACCTACATGAGCACAATTCATGAAGTTTTGGTGAACTGGATCTGGACTTTCAATTGAGTTACTACCTCTAAGAAATAAAAATCAGTTAGGACCAGTGATACACAGATAGTAGAATTTTGGTGAAATGGATCTGGACTTTCAATTGAGTTACTCCCTCTAAGAAATAAAAATCAATTAGGACCAGTGATACACAGATAGTAGAGAATGAATTAAGTTGGTCCGCTCTATTCATCCACTCATATGACTTCATTTCATCATCTCCTGGGATTTTTTGGTTTTGTGTGTGGAAGAGAATGCATCTAGCAGTTAATGATATTTGTTTACCATGTTTTTTCATCTCTCCCCTTTTCAGCACTTACAGAATCCCGCAAACTTCCATAATGCAGCTACCGAGCTCCTGGACTGGTGTGGAGACCCGAGAGCTTTCCAGAGACCTTTTGAACAGAGTCTGATGGGTTGTTTGACGGTACGTGAACTAATTCTGTGATGGCATTTTTCTTCTCTGTGATTACCCTGTGTGCTGTCTGTCAAACAGTGGTAACTGAGGGTTCGTCTACACAGCGGGTCTAAAGTCAAATTAAGCTACACAACTTCAGCTATGTCAATTGCGTACCTGAAGTAGAAATAGCTTAATTCGGCTTTCGGTGCTGTCTTCACAGCAGAAAGTCGAAGGAAGAGCACTCTTCTTTCGACTTCCCTTACTCCTCGTGAAATGAGACTATCATGAGTCAGAGTAAGAAGTCCTCCAGCTCGACATTATTTCGAAATAAAGGCCTGTAGTGTAGAATAATGCTGCTATGCAGACATACCTTGAGTGTGCAGTTAATCACTCGTTTTGTACAGCACATGATTCCTAAATCCCCACACACTAATATCTATTTATTTCCTAGTAGTCAGGTTGATTAATGTTACTTAACATGCATAGTATTAAGAAATTAATCATATGGAGGGCGAAATCTTACGTAGCTCTATTGTATCTCTTTCTATATTCAGTGGCACTAAGTGAGTCACTAATTAAAGGAACCTTTGAAATTTCAAACAAATGTCCCCTATTACTTATTTTTGTGGAAGTAAGTGGAAAGGCATTCTTCAGAGGTGACCCGGGCTAGTCTGTCTGCTGATGAGTGCCCCATAGAAATCCATTTCATTTGGCTTAGCCTGTTTCATGTGCTGACATGGTTCAAACCCTGACTTACTGCTTATGGAGGTGTTGTTGACTTTCATGGGGCTGCCTGTGTGAGTTCTAGAGGAGCTGCCAAATGCAGAAGGTATATTTCAATGCCTGCAACAGCAGCAATTTTTGTTTTGTATGATGATAGCAGATTTAGGATTCAGCCCAGAAATATTTACCAGAGTCAAGTAAACACTATGTGTGCAGGGGTTCCTCAAAGCCTTTTGAGCTCTTTTCATAACATTACATTCAAAAGATAAATGAAAATAAAAGCCTACAAAATAGCAAGGGAAAAAATACATCACCTATGTAGTTCATATCATCCCTCAGCATAAGTGGTCAGAGATACTTGTTATTGGGGGGAGGGAGGGAAGGAGAGGGGGAACACACAAATTGATCTCATAAAGTTTGTAAAGATCACACATACAGCACTTACTAAGATCCAGATTCAGCTGCAAGCCTTCAAATATTACGGAATGGCTCCATCTTAATGCGTTCAAGAGTATAGCATCTCTCAAAATTCTGTGTCAAGAGTTGGAATGAATCCAGTAATCTATAAGAAGTTGCATATCATCCTTCCAAGCAGTAAATATTTTTGAGAGACTTATAAATGTAATTGGAACCCACAGATTTCTCTGATGACATTCAAACTGTAAGTTTTCTTCATCAAGTATCCTGCCTTATGAACATATACACATGATGTAATGTGTCTATAATAATACTGTTCCCAAGTGTTGATGTTGTATCTGGTTGTTGATAAACACTGTGTCTGAGTTTGGTGTTTGTGAAAAGGAGACAAACAAGCCAGGTTGGCGCCATGCATGCTTGCATACAAGCTGTGTTCAGTCTTTTCCCACATAGCTCTGCAAAAACACCTTTAATCCTGACCTGAACTTCCTCCCTGTCATTTTTGTTTCTGAAAAAACAAATAGTCGCCCCCACTCTAGCATGGCAAGGAGTAGGGTGAAACTCAAGGATAATTTTGCAGAATATGGACATTTGGTAGCTGGAGATGAACCACATTTCTTTGTATTGTAGCTTAGCACATAAATGAAAGACTGGCGCAGTATGAAGTCATGTAGACTTTTGTGTCCTTGGTTAACTCTGCTCACCTGAAAATAGCTCAATAAGAAGGCAGGAAAGAAAAGGACTACTGCTGCTGTAGTTGCGGGAGAACTCTCCCCCGGCCCCAGCCAGACAGCTCCATGCCCAAAGCCCTGAGCCCCAGGCTAGGCAGGGCTCTTTAAGCAGTTGCAAGGCTGTACTACCACACAGCTTAGAAGAACCTCTGGATACCACTGGTGACCAGTTACTTAGTTTTTTCCCATGTAAGTGATTTATTGTTCAGTCATTTGTTTGTTGTTTATTAGTTGTATTGTTTTGCAACTTGCGAGCCCCAGTCATGGATCGGGATTCCACTGTGCTTGGTGCTGTAACAGCGCAGAATTAAAAAGGTCTGCCCCAAGGATCTTACAATGTAAACAGAGCCACACATATATAATGCTAGATGATTTACCTGGCATTGCTCAGGTCCTTAACTCAATTAATGTTTGGTTTTTGGGGGGAAAAAAAGAAAATGTTCATGCTTCAATTTTAATCATTGCTCTGAGGTGGGGCTGGGGAGGAGGGGTTCAGTAGCCAGGCTGTCCCTGGGAGAGAGGACTACCCCAGTCCTCTCTCACTGCAGCAGCTTGGGACCAGGTGAGAAGCAGGTCTGCAGCTCCAGCGGACACAGCTGGGGGAGGGGTGCATGTACCCCAGCTGGAGCAGGTCCAAATTCATCTGCCCCCTACATTCGTCAGCCAGAGTGAGGAATACAGCAAATTGTGCACTTTTCCCTTGCTCCCTGATGAAGGGAAACAGCCAGCAATGTTCCTGTAGGAATGGAAAGGGGGGGGGAGGAAGCTTCATCACCCCTTCCCCCCGCCCTCTCTAAAGGATGCCTGAGGGTGGGAGGCTTGGGGCTGGAGCAGTCCCAGATGGGGCGATGCCACCCTCTCCCTCACCCCCAACTGCAGCCAGCTCCTTTCACCTTCCAGGTGATTCTGTTTCTTTTCTATGTGATTTTATGAGAAACCAGTCCCATTCAGGCACATCCCATTTTCCTGGGACAACCAAACCCTGATTTTGCTTTAAGTTATGAAAAGAGGAAGCTGTATATATTTGGTGGTCCTAGCTCTCACAATTTAGGAGGAGTTCTTGAACAAACAGAGAGATGGACACACACACTCTCTCAAATATATAGTAGATTATATCTGAAGCCCCCAAAGACTCCAGTCAGGATCAGGGCCTGTTTCTTCAAGTGCTGATCCATACATGTATTTCACTGTGGGCATGTACACACTCCATGTGCCAGAAATTTCTTGCAATTTGGTCCATGCCTACACCTCTGATCTTCGTGTGCTCCTTACCAAAGTTTTAAATGGTTGAGCAGACCCTTGGCCTCTCCAGTTCCTTTTTACTGCCTCGTGGCCCGAGTCAAAATTCACCAGTGGCTGAAGCGTCAGGCATGCAAACTTCGGAGTCAGAAGCACATGGTGGAGCATGCAACAAGCCAAGCAACTCAAGCCAGGGGATTACCGGAGGACTCGGTGCAGGGCGACAACAGGGATCGGCCTCCTCCTCAGAGCGGTGGGAGCTGGAGCAACGTGATGGCCTTCTCTGCTTCTCCCTGCCTCCCTATTCCAGCTGGCTGCACTCTGCTTCTCCATGGCAGCAAGAAGCAGAGTGCCCCAACCCAGGGCGCTCTTTTCCATGCTGCTTTGGAAAAGCGGAGTGCAGCAGATTGGAACGGAGTGGGGCAGGCTGCTGGAGTGCTAAGCTCCCACTGCCACGGTGAGTGGAGGTCTGCATTCGGCCCCACAGGTAATCCCACGGGTCCCATCATAGGACAGTTATGGTGGCCACCTTGCACCTTCCTATGGACAGGACAGCTCTGTTTGGAAGGTTATGTTTCCAAGGGTTACTGGGTGACAAAGAGAGGAGGAGAAAACCCTGTAGATATTCTTCAGCTGAGGAGACAAAACCAAGTGCTTTGGGATCTGCCACCGGATCCTGCTTAAAGACTCTGCCCTACCCCAAGAAGGCGGAGAAGCAGAATTTAGTTGCAGCTACGGAAGCAGAGTACTTGTTCACCCGCCCTGCCCTGAACTGTTTAGTGGTGCAGGCAGCCACAGTATGACTGATTCAACAACACCCATGGGCCTCTTTGTAGATAGGGAGGCCAAGCATCTTGCCTGCCTGGGATGGGAGGTGTTTACATACACCATCACTGCAGTTTCAGATCTCAAACTATCAGGTCCTTCATGATTTCCTGAATTACTCTAAGTTCCTGGAGTTGAGGAACACGTTGCTTTAGGAGGACAGGGCTCAGTTTCAAGTTCCTATTGATTAGGGCAAACTAGTAGCCAGAACCTCTTCACATGAACTTCCACAGTGACCATAGCGAGAACATGTAAGCTATTTTCGGTATCAAAACAACAACAAAAAACACCTGTATGAGTAATATGGAGTCGGGTGACACTTTACGGAATAACAAATGTATTAGGTCTCATAAGGGAAGCCGTGTTAGTCTGTAACTTTAAAAACAGCAATTTACTGAATAACAAATGTATTAGGTCTCGTAAGGGAAGCCGTGTTAGTCTGTAACTTTAAAAACAAGTAGTCCTGTGGCACATTAGAGATGAACAAAAATAAGACCCACTTCCCATCAGATGAGTTGGAGTGGAAATAACAGAATTCAAGATATATATAACAGCAAAAGAAGTACCTGTCAATTGTAGGTCCTGTGTTAATGAAGCTAATTAGGTGGGCTGGATGTGTCTCATTCACAGTTTCTGATGTGAAAAAGTGGATGTCAGTGGCAGGGGAAATTGGCTTTGTAGTGAGTTAAGTTAATGTCTTTATTCAAACCCAAAATAATAGTGTCAGGTGAATTCCAGTTCTGCAGACTCTCTCTGCAGTTGGGTAGTGAAATTCCTTTGGAGATGGATGGCTACTTTTAAATCCATGATTGAGTCATGTGGGAGGCTAAAATGTTCCCCTGCAGATTTATGTGTGTGTGGGAGGTTAAAATGTTCCCCTGCAGATTTATGTGTGTTACTACTCCTGATGTCTGTTTTGTGTCCTTTTATCCTTGGAGTGTCCAGTTTGGCCAATATATATGGCAGAGATCATTGCTGGCATACATCATGATATATACCCATCCATGCTAATCAAATCAGAATGGATGTGGCTCATCTCCAAGGGTAGTGAGAAAGCAAGAGTACCTGAATGGGAAATTACCTATTGTAATG